GTTCTGACATACTTATTACAAGACAACCCAATGGTTGTCTTTTAGACGATTTTTCACTTGAAAACATATTTATTTATTTTTTTTTTTATATAATTTTATTTGAACAGCAATCAGAACTAATGGGTTCTATGAGCTGTTGTGAGTAAGATCTTACAAACTACGTTTGTTTTATTACAGATGGCAACCCAAACAGTTGTCACATCTCTGTATGATAAATTTTTATTACAATCTCTGTAATAGGGCAAGTATGGTGCAACAATGCCGGTGAGGGCTATTTTCACTTGGAAACATATTGCTATCTATATTTCCAAGTGAAAATCGTTGTCAATGTTGCCTGACAACAGGCTGCTCGAAGTGGGAATCGAACCCGGGACCTCTGAAACAAGTCCCATCGCTCTTAACCGCTTACCTACGGGCGAGCCCTAACATATTCATGACTTGAATTTTGAAGTACAAATCATATTTTATTTTAATTTAATTTTTCCTTTAATAAAACTGCCTGATAGTAAGATATTTGTTTCATTAATAATTTTTGTTTAATTAATTTGCATTGACATAGATAAGAATATTGGAAAATACGTTAGTTTTCGAAATGAAAATTTGAAAAAAGTTTGACGAACACTGTGCTAGTGCAGTTTATTGAAACGATAAATATAATAATGCTCACATTTCATTATGGAAAATAATCTTATCTTTCAGGTTGTGATAGTACAATGTATATTATCCACATGGTATTAACTTATTTTGCTTTAGAAAACATACCTATAAAGATAAACAAGAGTATAATATATATATATATATATATATATATATATATATATATAATTATAAACAAAATATAGGTATCTATCCAGTTATTAAAGAGAAAATGTTATGTTTAAATCTTTTCTAATTAGTCGTTAAAATTTAGACGTTTCGAGTCCCAGTTTGACTCTTCTTTAGTGAATAAAACAAATATTCAAAAAAAAAAAAAAAAAAAAAAAAAACTAACCGCAATAAACAAAATACTTATATAAGGATCGCATACATAAAATGTATTACATATTTAATTTGAAAAGTTAAATAATAGCAACAAATATATTTTAAGTATGTAAGTAAATAAGTAAATAAGTTTTTTGAAACTAATGTCGATATATCCTATGGCAGACTTTTTAATTTGTTTATAAACATATTTAACAACTAGTGGCAAAAATAACTCAGTCAGTATCGTGCCTGGCTCACACATGCCAGTGATCCTCTGATCGATCCTTGGCATTAACTTAGAATTTGAAACGTTGAGATAACATTAAATAGAATTTTAATTGTTGATTTGAAATTGCATAGAAATAGAAGTAAGATGTAGAATTCATAAATTGTTAATTTGAAATTAAATAGATTTTAACCCTTTCCTTGGCGGCATCCGAGTCGAAAGGGTTAAATTTGAATAAAATTAGAAGTAAGAAGAAAAGCAAGATTAGAATTGGAGAAGATCAGATTTAGAAAGAAAAGAAGAATGAAGAAAGCAGTTGTAAAGAGCAAAGAAAATAATTGGATAGAATAGAATGTAAATAAAGATAGTATAGAATATATATAAATGATAGCATAGTATATATATAAAAATAATATAGAATGTATATAAAAATAATATTTATTATACAATATTTATTATAAGATTTAGATTTTTTTGTTCGACATATTCTTGAATGTTGATTTTCAGGCAATCGTCGAAATAAAAAAACACAATAAATAATAAAATATTTATTTATATTTATTAATCAACGCTCAAAAATATTTATTATATAATTTATCATAAAATTTATCTTAGTAAAATATTTTTTATTAACAAAGAATTAAGGGGATTTAAGTTACTCTAAAGAGATCTACAATTTTAAGGTTAAAATACCTTTTTTTTTTCTTTCATATAAGTAACATTAAATTTTTTAATTTAATTTTATTTTTAAACCAAATTAAAAATAATGATTTATATTATTTTCATAAATAGAACAGAGAACGTGTTGAATTATAATTTATAAGATATTGTTAGAATTATAATATTTAATTTAATTTTTCATATACACTATCATTTATTATTTATATTTATTCACCCTGAATAAATTAACCCTTTCCACTTGCAATTTGCAGAATTTATACGTATTTTGCCATGTTGAATGGTTTATTAATATTAAGGGTTATTACTATTATTTCCAATTAAAAAATGTTAGAGCTTAGTATTTATTATATGTACATTAATATTATTTGCAAATTATTATGAAAATAATAATTGAAAATTTTGTTAGGATATAAATAAATTAATTTTAATTCTGATACAATATTTGTTTCAATTGTAAGATATTTAAAATAATCATTGAAAATTATTATCAAATTTAATTTTTATTATTTTTTTATTGAATTAAAATATGCAAGGATTAATTAAAAGAAAATTATTAAATATAAATAAATATACGGGGTAACTGAATCCAATTTAAATTTCAGTCAGCTTCACATAATTTAATACATCCATTATTGGATTGGAATTGGAATTCAAAAAATAAAAAATCAAACTTTGATAAATATATATTTTTTGGATAAAATATTTTTTTTTTGTATAGATAAAATATTATTATATTTTTATTTTAGATAAAATATTTTTTTACAATATTCTTTAAAGCATTGGTTTATACATTAATTTGCTTCATAATATAAATTTTAATTAAAAATAGTTTTGACTTTTTTTAAATGGTTTATTCAATTGCTTCATAATATAAATTTTAATTAAAAATTGTTTTGACTTTTTTTTAAATGCAAAAGAAATAGCAACTGTTTATGTTTTGATACTCCGATTGAAACTTTCTCATTCAGTTATTGAATATGATATTATTTACAATTTAACATTTTTTTATATATGTGTATCTAAATATAAACAATTGTAAATATTATTATGATTTAACACGTTAATCGTCACGATAACAGAAAAAAAATCCCAGGAGTCATGGTAACTTTATTAGATAATTCAAATTAAAATGTATAAATTTTTTTTTTCTTTCCAACCACTTTTTTATGTCACACATGTATGACTGACATGGATATTGGGTACAACTTTTTTTCTCCTACCAAATCGCGTATATCAGACATGTCTGATATGGATTATGTAAAATTTCTTATTGTCAGACACATATGACTGACATAACAATAAACGTGTTAAAGCAGGTGTTATTTATTCTGAATTAATATTTGTTTCAAATTATTCAAACACAGCGTAATGTGCTGCATACATTTAAATTTATAAAAAATATAACAAACAACCTGGCAACTGAATCTGTTTTAAATATATAGAAAATTGCAATTATATTTGATTAAATTAAAACGGCAATTATAATTTTAATTTTTATATATTCAACATGATATGATCTTTCATTTTTATTTTTTTTTTGTTATATTTTTGATTTCCATCTGTTATACTAGGACATTTAGTAGCAATTATATTTATTGAATTTAATTTTTTTTTTTCGTCAAACTACAACTGCCTGAAAAAGCATTCAGTAATTGTTGTGACTAAGATAATAAATAACATTTTAAATTATTTTGGTAGTAATTCAAGTTTGTATAATAAATATAAATATGTGAAAATAATTAAATTCAAATTATAATAGCAATAATATTTATTTTATTGAATTTATCATATGTAAACAGATCACTTTTAACATGATTTTTTTTTATAGATTTGTATTAACAATTGCAAATATCATTAGGGTATAAAAAACGTTTTTAATTTTGATAAAACGTTTGCTTAAGATATTCGAATCAATAAGTGGTGCATTAATTTGCAGCATACCTTTAATTTTATTAAAATTTTATATAAAAAATATACCGGTAACTAAACTAAAGTTATTTAGATTATTTAAAAAATATTATATTGTTAATTTTTTAAACTTGTGATATACATTCTAATAATAATTACCACCAATCGTTACGATAATATCAGAAAAAATTTCACATGGGCCATGGTAACATTGTTAAATAATTCAGTTAAAATTGAATTAAGGAAACTTGATAAACATATTTTTTTTTGCCAAAACACATTTTTTTATGTCAGACATATGACTGATATGGCTCTACAATAATTTTTTTTCTTCTATTACCAAATCTCTAAATTTCTACCAAATTAGAAGATGGTCCTATATTAAAACTTTTTTCTTCTCTTTGCGAAATCTCTAAATTTCTACCATTTTTTTAGATTATTTAAAAATGATATTTATAAATAAATACAGTAATGGTTTATTTTCAAAAAATGTGATATACATTCTTTTATTAATTAACACGTCAATCGCCACGACAATATAAAAAAAATACATGTACCATGGTAACTGTATTATACAATTTAGTTAAAAAAAATGTATTAAAGAAACTTTATATATCAAAAAATTGTTTTTGACAAAACACTATTTTTTATGTTAAACATGTAGGACTGATATGACTATATCAGAACTTTTTTTTCTTCTACTAAATTTCCAAATCTTCCAAAGATTTATATTTCTAGAAATGTGAATTACATTCTATTAATATTTTTTTTTATTAAATATGTATGTAACAATTAGAATAATGTAAGTTGACGTAAGAACAAATAAATAGAAATAATAATAATAATACTTATAAAAAACATTAATAATTAACACGTTATTCGCCACGATAATATCAGAATTTTTTTCATATGGGCCATAGTAACTTCATTAGATGATTTAGTAAAAAAATGTATCAAAAAAACTTGATGCATCAAAAAAAAAAAAAAATCTGGAAAAACACTACTTTTTAAGTCACTCAAATACATGACTGACATGATCTTAAATTAAAACTTTTATATTTGTGAGTCTGACATGGCTCATGTAGAACACATATGACTGACATAGAAAAATCACATTCATTAAAAATTATGTACGACCGCATTTACAACAAATACTTGACTGACACTTTAAATAATTATCAAACAAATGCAAGTTGCTTTAGATAACACTAATAATTTTTACCAAATATCAAAAAAACAACTTCTTGTTGCAACACACAAAACACAAATGGGTTATTTGTTATTGTTGAAGTTTATTTATTGAAGCACATTTATGTCTTAATCACTTTATTATTTTTAATTATTATTTAAAATTATTATGAATTATTTATTTATAACAAACAATATACGTGTTGGTATTTTATTATTGAAATAAATTCCGAAGTAGACGGTTTCGCGTCCGACGAGCGACTGACTGAATCAAAGACAAATTGCTTTCGAGCAATGAATCGCCGAACGGTGGGTACATTGATGAACTACTGAAGTTGATATACTATACATACACACACAAACGATGTGCAAACACTAAATTTGTATATTATATTCCAATATAATCGTATATTACAATATAAAATTGTTCATCCATAGTCAATTGCTTATTTGATCAATTACTACAATTTGTTTTTTTTTTCTTTTTATATTTTATTTATCTATTTTTCTTTATTTTTAATTCATTTTTATTAATTTATTAACTTCCCGTAGGGTAAGTTATAGTAATCGTCCAAAAATCGAAATCAAAAATTTTTACATTTCTCGACGTTTTGAAGGTTTCTGAACATTTTGGCATACTTCAGAAAAAATGGATGTGTGTGTGTGTGTGTGTGTGTTTTGTATGTCCGCTTTTTTTCGTCCACGTTTTCGGGCTCACGGATCAACCGATTTGAATGGTTTAAAAAACATTCGATTCCTATTGATAGGGAGATGTGCTGATTAGTTTTTGGCAAAGGCAGGTCCAGCCGTTACGGAGATATGGAGCAAAGAGTGCAGAAAATAGAAAGCGAGTTTTTGAGGGAACGGATCAACCGGTTTGAATGGTTTAAAAAACATTCGATTCCTATTGATAGGGAGATGTGCTGGTTAGTTTTTGGCAAAGGTAGGCCCAGCGGTTCCGGAAATACAGAGCTAAATGTTAAAAAAATGGCAGTTTTTGAGAGAACTAAGTGTTCGATTTAAATGACTTAAAGAACTTTCTGCTTGTTTCAACAAAATAATTGATTTTGGAAAAAAAAATTTTTGTTTCTTATTTTTTTTTCAAAAAATTTTTTTTGTAATTTTGGATTAAAAATTCAAAAAATCACCCAAGCTAAGCACAGTCTAAGCGCCACTCTGGTACAAATGTTTACCCAAGTGCGTTTAGACTGTTTATGTATGGGGCACTTTTCCAATTTTGTGAAAATTATTGAAAAATGTGAAAATGCCGCCAAGCTAAGCACAGTATAAGTGAAAATGTCGCACAGAATTATTTGCAAATGCGTTTAGACTGTGACTATGCGGGAGCACTTTTTCAATTTTGTGGAAATTTGGCAACTATTTTTTTTTTGAAATTTGATTCGAAATGAAATGACGATTGTTAATGTTCTGGAGATGATAAATTGATTTATTTATAATTAACTTTCCGTAGGGTAAGTTATAGTAATCGCACAAAAATCGAAAATGAAAATTTTTATATATCTTTACGTTTCAAAGGTTTCTGAATATATTGGCATACCTTAGAGAAAATTGATGTATGTGTGTGTATGTGTGTGTGTGCACGTGCATTTGTGTGTGTTCAGATACAAATTTTCGTCGACGATTTCGGGAACCGAGATGAAGCAATTTGAATAATTCAAAAAACATTCGATTCGTATTGATAAGGAGACGTGCTGATTAGTTTTTGTCAAAGGCAGGTCCGTTCCGAAGATATGGGGCAAAAGGGGCCAAAAACGGTAACTCAGTTTTTAAGAGAACGGAGCGTCCAATTTGTATAATTCAAAAACATTTTACTTGCATTATCAAGATGAAGATTTGATCAAATTTTCATGAAAATAGGTCTAGCGGTTTCGGAGATCTAGTAAAAAAAGTAAAAAAAAAATAACATTTGGCGGTCAACAATAATCATTAGACATTAGACATATGCACATCAAATTATCAGATATTTTATGGAGATTTTAACAATAAGTATACATTTTGTTAACATTCCTATGGGTTCCGTACCAATGCTTATGCGTTAGACAGCGACGCGGCGCTTACGCGCTTCGATATTTAGTCTCTATGCATTAAAGCAGTACGATTGCTTTGAAAAAAAGTTCAGAATTTCCAAAATATTTCAAAATAAATTTTTCAACAAAAAGTAAGTTTTTGTCAAAAATTTATATAGTTCCTCAAAAATCTATTTTTTTCAGAGTAAATTTTTTTCAAAAATGTTAATCTTTTCAAAAAAAAAATAATAATTTTTGGTACGGGAAGTTCCAGCAATTTGCCTTAAGGCACGATGCCATGCGCCCCACTAGTTTATTATTATTATTATTTTTTTTATTTATTTATTTTCACTTGGAATTTTTTTTTATTCATACAACATTATAGAACAATCAGAGTTATTGACAGAACCCTATACATTATAGGGCAAACATAAAAAATAATAATAATCACAGAAAGAAATAAAGAAAAAGAAAAATTAATAATAAATAAATGAACATAAATGAAAATGAATTACAAGTAAATAAATAAATAAATAAATAAAAATTGTAGTAATTGCTCCAATAAGCAATTTTTTACATTAAGTCTATAGGCAGTTTGAACAAGTCTACTTAAAAATATAGATAGCAATATGTTTCATATAAAATATAGATAGCAAGTGAAAAAAGCTCTCACCCTGCATGGCATAGTGCAGTAAACGGAGAGGAAAAAAGGGTGTATAACCTCTAATTTTTTTTTACTATGCTCCCATAAATGCAAATTTTGGAATTGGAATTGGAATTAGGTTCATCTTACCCTCAAGTTCAAAAGTGAAAACAAATTTGAAAAATATTTGTCCTTTTACAGAAATTGTAACAATAATATATCATCATCATATAGAGATGTGACAACCGTTTGGGTTGCCATCTGCCGAACAGACTATTAATTAATTTAAATTATTAAATTAGTATTAAGTCAAATCAGCACAATATCTTATAGGACTCTTAGGTTCTGATTGCTTCACAAAAATTAAACTAGTGGTGCATGGCATCGTGCCTTAAGGCAAAATTGCTGGAACTTCCCGTACCGTAATTAAACATTCAAGGAATGAAAATAATCAATAATTGTTTTGAATAATTTCAAATAGATTATTTATTATAAATACATACTATAAACTTATAAGTGCTTATTAAAATAGGTGACGACGCATTCTACAAACAACTTTATGTGTATGTTCACAAGAAATTTGTTTATTTTTTTTTTAATTTGATTTTTGATAATTCTGTTTTTTTTCAAAATTTTGCAATTTTTTTAAAAACTAGATTTTTTGAAATTTTTGGAAAAAATCGATTTTTAAATTTTTTTTGAGAATTTGGAAATGTTTGAACATATTCAATTTTTTTTAAAATTTCGAAATTTTCTCAAATTTTTGTAAGAAATTGATTTTTTTTAATTTCTATATTTTTTGAAATTTTTCAACGTAGCATTTTTTTGAAAATAATGAAAAATTCGAAAATTTTAATTTTTTGAAACTTTAATTTTTTTGAAAATTTTGAATTTTTTTTTTGAAAATTTTCAAAATAACAAAATTTATGGTAAACGCATTTTCTGCACACTGTCTACACAAGCAAAAGGTTTTTTGAATTAATCTAATCGGATGATCCGTTCTCTTAAAAACTGCATGACCATTTTTACACCCTTTGCGCTCCAAACGTTCGAAACAGCTAGGCGTGCCTTTTGCAAAAACTCCTGGCTATCGAGTGCAAACCGAATGTTTTTTCAATCACACAAATCGGTTATTTTATACTGTCAAGAATGTCGAGAACATTTGTTTGAACCATATAAATAAACTTCAAACTTGAAAATCTTGGTACGGAACACAAAAAAAATTGACACAAAATGTGTACACATTATTAAAATATCTATAAAATGATAATTTGATGTGCATATGTCTAATGAACATTTTTGACCACCAAATGGCGTTGTTGAAGTTGAAGCCTTTCAAAAAATTTAAACAGTTTTTCGTTTAGCCAATACAAATAAAATGTTTTTTGAATTATTCAAATCGGACAGACCGTTCTCTCAAAAACTAAATTACCATTTTTGGCTTCTTTTGCCTCGTATCTTCGAAACGGCTAGACCTGCCTCTGCCAAAAACTAATCAGCACATCTTCTTATCAATAAGAATCGAATGTTTTTTTTTTAAATTTTTGAAATCGGTTGATCCGTGTGCCAAAATCGTCGACAAAAATTTAAGCCCTAATAGATAGCTAAGCTCTATCTTTATATATAGTATTCTAACAAGATTCATATCAGATTTTTATTAAATTGACCTAAATATTCAAATTATATTCATGATAATAAAATCTACTCTATTATATGAAAAATCTAAAATTACTTATAGTTTTTTCTTATTACAGTTTTTTTTTATTTTTAGGAAAAATTTTTATATTTTTGTTCTTGATTTTTTATTTGTTCAAATAATTTACGATACGTAGAAATAATAAACAAAATATAATTCTATTATTTTGGTTCAAATAGTTTCAGCATTACTGGAGATCCCTAATTCAAGAATTGTGAAAAAAAGTTTTCAAATAATTTATATTAATTTATTTAATCATTTAATTAGTTAACTGGTCAATGGGACAGTCATCTATTCTATTATTATATTTATTATTTTTTTATAACTATTGTTTTAATAATAATTAATATTATTTCTATTTATTTGTTATTATTATAGTTAGTTTTTTTTTCTTCACATTATAGATTATGGTCTCACTGTAGCTCATAGAATACATAGATTATTCTGATTGTTACATACTAATTGAATAAAAAAAAAGAAAAAAAAATATTTTGGTTCGAAAGATTTTATGTACTATATATGAGATACTGATATCACAAGAATTTAATATTCTTTTTTTACATCACATAAATTTTAAATAAATCTTGAATCAACTTATTGAAAAAATCTATTACTGATTTTGAACAATATATCCAGAATAATAAACATTCTTTGTATCACTTTAATAATTTTGGGTTGATCTTGAATCAATTTATTAGAAAAATTCCATTATCAATTTGGAACAATACTCCCAGGCATGATAGATCGCTCTTCCAATTTGGGAGAAATGTTCACTCAAATACGTAGAATATAAATTGTAGACATTTGCGAATGCTAGGTTGTATGCAGCTTGTACATTGGAGAGAAGAACATACCCGGATTTTGAAACCGAACTTGCAAAGTCTTGAACATCTGTCATTGTCAATATTGTTTTAGAGGAATACCAGGCGCGTTCTAGATAGTTTAGGGCGGCTTCGTATTTGGGCTTGTCATAATTATATAATAATATCCCTGCTAAAGAACTTACTAATGTAACGGCCAACAAAGAGAAACACACGATAGATAAACATGACATTTTTTTCGGAGCATTTTTCTTGGCTCTTCTTCTTCGACTAGCATTTTTTTTGTTCTTAATCCTGAATTGTCTTACTTGACAATCTGTTTGTTTCTTATCTGCTATTGCAGCTTGTCTCATATTAATTTGATGCTCCCTTCTATTCTGCAGCTGGGTATTGCGCATCTCCACTTCTTTGTCTAATTGTGCTTGTATATTTGTTAAAAATTCAACAATTTTTTTGGCGCACGAATGGCATTGCTTCTTGTCTAGACAAGGTCCTGCTCTCTCAGTTAAGGAGGGAACTAGAGGATTATTTCTGAGATCTAACCATTTTAAAAACGTGCATTTGCTGAGACTGAGCGGTAGATGCTGGAGCTCGTTGTTATGTAAATCCAGTTCGCGCAATGCCCTCAATGCACCAAAATTATCCGGTAAACTTAGTAAGTTATTTTGACTAATATCGAGTTTAACTAGACAGTAGAAGAAAGGAGCAAATTTTTTTGTCAAACCAATAATGTTATTGTTCGACATATCTATGATTGTCAGACTTCTGACAGCAGCTATACTACTCTTTGAAAGATCCTTCATATCACACACTCCCGAATCTGATCCATTCTTTTCCTTCTCTTTCAAGTTAATTTTAATCATCTTCAAACCTTGAACGCACCGGTACACAAAAAATATTAGAAAATTAACTCAGTAGCAAAATGATTACAAAATTGTTTGAAACAAAAGTGTTAGTAGTCATGACATCCTATAATCATACGTGCGACGTTGATATTTTGACAAATATAAATGACAAAAATTAAATAATTCAAAAGCGGTATTCAGATTTTTGACTTTTTAGTGATGTCAAGTTCAAATTCGTGTCACAAACGCGCATTATAGATCTATTACCTCAAGTGGCTGTTTGGTATCAAGATAGACGAATTTGAGATCAGCCTGGAACTAGTTTATCCAGACTTGCAAAATGACGGAACCAAAACTAAAAGTTGGAAATTCATTTTCCAGGACTGATTCTTCGTTCTTTACACATAATGTTTGTGTTAATGTGTGCCTCATCTAGCGAACGAAATGCGCGTGGTTCGTTTTGTTCGTAATTTTTAGTCTGCGCATATTATTCGTCATGTTCGTTCGTTAGGTGGGGATGCACCTTTACATGTTGATCATGTTTTATAAATTCATGAAATGAAAAGGTGTAAGAATTATATGAAGTTTTCGTTGAATGTTTTCAAATTTATCTACATATATATAAAAATAAGTCGGCTTTTTCTTCCTGACGATATAACTCCAGATCGCACGAACCGATTCGACAATTTTGCATTATAGCTAAGAAAATTAATGGTGCATGGCATCGTGCCTTAATGCAAAATGCTGGAACTTCACGCACCGTAATTAAAAATTCGAGTTGACATTAGTAAGAATTATTAAAATTACGCTTGGTTAAGTCAACGATCAATTCTTGCCACAAAGAATAATGATGTACACGTACTAAATTTCACCATTCAATCAAAAATTGCTGGCGATTTGGTGACATACCAATAATTCCGACTGGTCTTTCGTTTGACTTCAAACGATTGCAATTTCCAGTTCGCCTTGCGTTCGCAATAACAAGTCGCAAGGCCAATCGCTTAGTGTTTGCGGGATAAATTTCAAATAGATTATTTAGAAAATCATTGTTTATTACATGGGCAGTTATACGTTGCCTGTCCACGAGTTGTAAAATCATCCGCTTTGTTTGTGTTAACGTCAGACCAAAAAAACAAAAAATGTGATTTACCAAAGAGCACTTCAATGAAACGGATAATTTGCGGATTCACTTTCATTTACTTAGAGAAGTTCAACTAAAAAGCACTTCATTTTTGTAGTCAAAATAAATTCATTAGTGTTGTGTAATATAATCAAATTTTTCCTTTTCAAATATAACACAAACGAAAAATTTCTTCATCTTTCTTACGAAACCATCTGGTAGCGAAACAGAGTTCGTCGGGTTTGCTAGTTGTTTATACAAATTGATTATCAGTTATCTGTTACAATGAAAGCTTTGATTTAAAAATCCTATATCCTATCATAAATCCTATATAATTATATCGACATTTCGGGGATATAGAATGTGAACTTATTCAGGATCTTTTAAAAGAATAAAATTATACCCCGAAACGCTGATAAAATCATTGATAAGAAAAATTAAGTATAATTAAGAAAAATCGGAGACTTTTTATTACTCGTAATCTCATTCCATGTAGTATTTTATTAGTGTATTTCATCTGGTTTACGATATCAAACGTAATCAGATATAGTGTTTTAGATTAGATATTTTAATGAACTAGATTGTTACAAATTATTTACATAGTTTTAATTAATTGCAGTTATTTTTGAGTGAATGAAGATTAAGATAGTAGCCAAAATGTATGGATGTCGAATAGACTTCACAAAATTCATAAAATTTTTATTCGATCATTAGATTCGACTTACTGTTGTAATTATTAAATAAGAACTAGTGGTGCATGGCATCGTGTCTTGAAGCAAATTGCTGGAACTTCCTGTACCAAAAACTAAATTTTTAAAATTGAAAAATTGACAAATTCGAAAAATTTGTTTTTTTATATTTTGATTTTTTTCTGAAAATTTTTAACATTTTTTGTAAACAATCGCGCTGCATAGCTGATTTGAAGTCGAAATATCAAAGCGCGTAAGCGCCGCGTAGTTGTCTAACGTGTAAACTTTGGTACGGAACCCATATAAATGTACACAAAATTTGTACTTACCATTATAATTTTTATAAAATATCTGATAATATAATGTACATATGTCTATGTCATTGTTTTTTACTTTTTTATTGGATCTCCGCAGACGCTAGACCGGCTTTTACAAAAATTTCACCAGTTGTTCATTTTATCGATACATGTATAATGCTTTTTGAATCATTCAAATCGGATGCTTCGGTATTTCAACAAGTAAAATACCAATTTTGGCACTTTTTGCCCCGTAACTTCGGAACGGCTAGACCTGCCTTTGGCAAAAACTAACCAGCACGTCTCCTTATCAATACGAATTGAAGGTTTTTTAAATTATTCAAATCGGTTGATCCGTGTTCGCAAAATCGTCGACGAAAATATTTGTATCCGCACACACACATACATACATCCTTTTTTTTAAGAAACGTAAAGATATATAAAAAAATTCATTTTGGATTTTTTTGCGATCACTATAACATACCCTACGCCCCTACGGGAAGTTGATAAAAAAAAATTAGACTCGACTCAAATATATCATAAATATAATAAAAAATTTAATGGATTTATAATTTTTATATACGTTATTTATGACTATTTGTTATTTATGACTTATAATAATTCATTATTTTTATTATTTTTAATAATAATTATTATTGTATTAATTAAAATAAAATTCGGTATCTAAGAACTTTTAGATAAATCGCAAAATTACAACCAACGGATTGTAAAATTTTTTTTAGGGTCATAAAAATTAATTGATCATTTGTTGATATTTTATGACAAAAAAACTTGTCGAGAATACGTGCTTAAAAATACAAACTGATATATATATATATATAATATATATATATATATATATATATATATATATTTGAAATGTGTTTAATAATTATCAAAGAACATCAAACTGTGGTCGCAAAATAGTTCATTTTCTAAAGTTTTGCCTTGAGTTTGTAAGCCAAAACGCTTATATATTATATTTATATATATATATATATATATATATATATAGTGTTCCACGGCGTAACGGTTAAGCGCACTACCTTGTGTGGCAAGGTCCTTCAGTTCAAACCCCCGCCCGAATAATAATCGTATAACCCGATATCACGCAGCGAGAGAAAAATACAGGGTGCACCATTTATGTGTGGTTTTGTTTGCACAATGAAAGGAGTCATTTGATCGACGTTGTTTTTCAAACGTAGTTAGCAAGAAAATGGTAAGACTTTAAATTTGATAATAAAAAAAAGTTGAGCAAAATTCATTGAAAATTGTCCAAGTTATTCAACATGTTCATTAACCACATATAAATGGCGCACCCTGTATATTTTCAATCATTTAGTCGGCACTGCGATGTAAAATGGCAATGGGAAATCGCTCACACTGTTCTTCCCCGAATCTAGTTGGAGTTTAACCCATGTCACGGACCTGCCTTAAGAGTCTATGTCAGAAATGTGTCTGTCGCCGATTGCTAATTGGTTGCTAATGGTGTTTGATAAAGGATGATGAAAATAGATGAAAGCAATATATAAATAGCACGGAATAAATCAATTACTATTAAGGTGGGTGTGTGTGAGGATGTGTGTGTACTTGGAAAAAATTAATTAAGGACAGATACAGTACGAGAAAGATCAGGAAGATCTTCTAAATGAAGAAAACGTTGCTAAGGAAGAAGGTGATACTACATATTGAGGAAGAAAGTAATACTACATATCGAATATAAAACCATATGGATCAGAAACATGGATTCTAAGGAAGAAGGTCAACGAAAGCAACATCGAACAAGTACTACAATAAGTGCTGGTACAGCCTCAGCCTTGCAATAACAAGGTTCCAAGTTTATATCTCGCGTTGCGTGCAACCTGATGTCAAGGAGTCATGATATATATCTATGCACTTGAAAATATAGAATAAAAATATATTCTAAGTAAACATTATCATTCTCGGCATTGTTATGATCAAAATACTAATAAAAATTTGAAGTGTGTAAATATATAATTATATAATCACAACTAGAAAAAATAAGATTAGACTCCTTCTAAAAATAGCAGTATCTAAAAATTACTAATTGTCTAAAATGAAAAGCACAAATTGTAATACATGTGGGAATATATAAGAACTATATGCAAGTGGAATTTTGTCTTAATGATTGCGAAAACTTCTGATATATAAATAATCGTCTTAATTAATAAGAATTGAGATTTATTCAGATTTTTTTTGAAATTTGACATGGATCAGTATACACTTTACACTCTTCTATAGGATCAGTTTAATTAGAATTTTTTTCAACAATTAAGTACAAAGAAACTTTACCGATCTCTACCAAAACCCATCTACTACCATTACAAGAATTAGAAGTACAATATAATACAAAATGAAGGACAGTATTTCCATTAAAATGATATTCATATGATTATAATTTAATATAAAATAATATAAATAACAATTTTCATCTGATGTTTTTTTTTTGGCTTTTAAATTTTTTGAATAGAAGCTGCCGTTTCTGAGAAAATACCGATGTGAGGACAAGAAAACTCACATACACACACATACTTTTTTAAATTTTGGTATCAAATGGTTCAAAATGACTTAAAACGTTGAGAAAACATAAAATTAGTCAATCGGATTTTTTTTGAACAAAATATGAACTTCTCTATAGGGAGTTGAAAAATATTTATTTTAATCTTCGAGTAAAAAATCATCCATGGTGTGAGAGCCACCACAAATCAATTATTCCCTTTAACTTGCACTTTTTTTTTAGTACACTTTAATTCATTTTCCTTCCATTTTATTTTCTATTTGCTTCCAGCTCTGTACGGATCAGAGACATGGTATCTTATCTGTCTACCCTATCTTATCCATTCGCTTCCAGTTCTGTACGGATCAGAGACATTGACTCTGATCTGTCTACTC